AGAGACATGCGAGAGGGGATGGAGGGCACTCCATCCCGACCCCAGAAAGAGTTAAAAGTGAAGCCTTAAGTGCTCACCTGGCTCTGCCAGATCTTTCACCATCTATTTGTGTCCAAGCGTGCCCAGCAAACACACACTGAAGTCCCCATGAATGACTGGAGCGCTTCCAGCTGACAGCCGCATCCCTGCTCACCGCCAATGGCGGTGCACCCAGCCTGGGAAGCACTGACATCATTTCTGGCCAATAGCAGCTCCGAAAAGGGATGCAGCAGCAGCTGCTGCCGCCGTCTTGGAGTGAGATAAGTAATATATAGATGGATGGAAATGTGTATATACACACTCCCCCCATCACTGCACTGGAGACCCGCACCCCTGGGGCAGCACTAGCAGCACACTCTGCCAGCCCACCACACAACCTGGGGCTCTGGTCTCACCTCAGAGCACTTAGATGTTGCTGGCCATCAACCCCAGCTGCACCCCACCCCTGCCAGCCACATAGAATTGCTCCAGAGCCACCACAAAGGAGCATAAACAAGGGGAGAGGAGACCTTGAGGGTAGCCAGGACCTAGGAAGGACTATGCACTCTAGGACAAAGATCTTGAGCCAAGGTCTGCCTTCAGTGGGGACTAATGAAGATGTGACATAGCCAAGAGATGCCTTCAGTCACCCATAGGGTGTGCAGATAGGCTGGTGCCTTCTCAGAGGCCATTTAGATGCTTAGAGTCATTGCAAGAGAGGACAGGAACAAGCGATTTCTTTTCCACATGGATATCAAGATCAGCAGGACATACTGGCTCACAGCAGGGCATGCAGACTGAGAGTGAGCCCATCGCAGCCTGAGGGTGGTTTGTGGGGGGATTTTCCTGTGGTTGTGTGGGATGGAGTAACCATTCTTGGGCGGTACCTGGCAGCTGGACGGGTAAGCACAGCAGTCCTGCACAAGGCAGGCACACAAACTGGCTCTTGGGTTTGCTGTGATACCGTCTATCCCTCAGCAAGGATGTTTGCTCTAAAATACTTCACTGAAGTAGCCCATTGCCAGATGTGGAGGGAGCAGAGATGACCCCTCACACAATTCTGTGGCTTTCCCCATACACCTGTTCCCAATGGCTTGTTACGCCATTTCCTCCCAGTTCTGCTTCCCAGGCCCCATATCTGCTCCGGCAGCCAAAACAGGGGTGGAGAACTCCAGAAAGGGCTGGGATTTCCCTAGCAAGGGTCCCAGCACAGGGCAGGCAGCAGGAGAGCAGGAGGGAGAACAGATGTGCTCAGTGCCTTGGGGTTATTCAGATGTTATCAGCAGAAGACTGGGGTGGGGTGTGAGTACACCTTGCTCTCCAAGCTGACTTCATCCTCATCTGCAACTCCTCCAGATCTGGGAGGGGAGAGCAGGAAAGCAAATGGAAATCACTCTGGTTTCATAAGATTACCTCTGCAAGGAGAGAAAGCCATATGCCAGCCTTTGAAGCCCTCCTTACAGCAGGCAGAGCAACGGCCGCTGCTGTTTTACATGTACTACAGCCATCAGCAGCCTCTATCCCTACAGCTCTTGCCCTTCCACTACCAGTGCCAGTCCTTGCCACTCAGCTGGGACTAGAGGTGCTTCCTCCATCAAGAAAGCAGAAGGGAGAGTCAGGGAAGCAGGCAGGGATGGAGAGCCTCAGGAATTGCCTCCTCATGGTGGCTGCCCCATTGCATGGCAGCTTCAGAGGAGCCCCAGGACTGTGAAACAGCCCATTGCGGCACTGTCCTTTCTCCAACCAAGCCAGCTTGGCTGCTGGTTGGGATTCCTCCAGCAGAGCTTGGCATCATCTCTGGCAGCTCCCGAGCTGGTTTGTCTGGTGCGGCTGGTTTGGAGAACCGCTTTAATCCCCGTTCCTTCCTGCTCAGCTGGAAGAGGCCTTGGGGGCTCTCCATGCAGGAGCCCAGCACCACACACCCCAGCCAGGTGCTGATGGAAGTCAGGGCTTTTCCCCACCCCAACCCAGTTGTGTGCAAGACCTCACACTGGGCCGTGAGGCATCTTTAGACATCCTCTTGGCACGGCCGGGAGCGCCAAGCGGTGCCTTTTCAGCGCGGCGCTCAGACATCCGCTTACACGCTCCTGACAGCGCCCAGCCGGCCTGTGCTGCCTTGCCATGCCGTGCCGTGCCTTGCCAGCGCCTCGGCGCCCGGCCAGCTGGCAGCCACCGGCCGGGCTCCTCTGAGACACGCTGCCGGTGGAGCAGAGGGAAGCCGAGCGCTGCTGAAGGGCTCAGGGGGCCGGAGGAAGCACGTCCCTCCACAGCACATGGGCCTTGTGCATCAAGGGCTTGTGGTGAGCCCCGTTCCTGCACAGAAAGGGGAGCAGCCAGGTGGTTTTGGCAGCGGGTTGGAAGGTAACAGTGCAAGAGGCTCGCAAGGAGGAGCAGTCCCCAGAGTCACGTCACACCAAGGAAAAGGGCTCCCTGTGATCGCTCTTGTGCTGCCTCCCCTGGCATGACAATCACTCCAAGCAATGGCTTTTTGGTGGCTGTGCAGATCAGATGGGATCTCACTGCCCAGAGGAGGAGCTGAAGGGACAGTGCACTCCACATAGCTGGAGAAGGTGACTCCTGGCACCTTCTGCTCACAACTGGGCTCCCTCCCCCGTCTGCAAGATGCAAAACCTCCCTTGCCTCTCCCAAACCTCCTGTTCTCTCCTGCTAGCTTAGCTCATGGCTCCTGGCATGGATACCAGCCGGCTGCTGCCCAAATCTGGGCTTGGAGATGCCGGGCACTGCTCAGCTGGGCTTGTGTTTGTTATCCTGCACATTTGCATGGGGAGGATTTGGGGGAAAACCCTGATGTACAATGCTGAGCAGCACAGGCGCTAATCCCTGCTCCAGGGATGGTGGGGGGAGAGCTGTCTCCAAACTGCTCCCAGCTCAGCTCTGATGGCTTTCGCCTGCACAGACAGGAGAGGTGCCCTGGGGGGTCCCTCCCTGCCCCATATTTTGGGGTGAGCCCTGTCACAGGGAGGGTGCTGCAGCCAAGGGTCCCTCACCACCCCTTGGCCGAGCCAGGTCTGCTCAGTAGCAATGGATTTGTTGTCATGGAAACGGCATCTGCTCGGCCTGGGCCCCCCAGGAGGCAGCCGGACCCCAGCAGCATCCGCCGGCTACCATTTATTTTTAATAGGGCTCAGCAGCACAGGGTGGCTTTGTCTCCAGGAGGGCCCAGAGCAGCAGAGGTTGCTCAACGCCCTGCAGCCCTCAGCCAGGAGAGGACAATCCATGTGTCCCTGCAGCTCCAGCCAACAGGACACTCATGGAGAGAGCAAACATGGTTGGATGAGCAAGTCTGAGTTCAATCCACACTGTTTTCATAGGCTGCTTCCACTCTCCCAGCACCATTTGACTTCAGCTAGGAGTTGGGAAGGGAGGAATAAGGGCAGGTCCAGGCTGGTGAGGGCAAGCCCTGGAGAGCACAGTCCATCACACAGGCCCTTTGCCACTGCTTCCTTCCCTCTCCCCAGGCTGAAACAGGGTCGCCAGGACAAGATCTCTGCCTAGTTTGGCTGATGAATGCAGCTACCAGGGTGGTGGAATATATTCCTTAGGGAAGGAGAGATCTGGAGTCAGGGTCCTGCTGAGGGATCCTGTGGGGTCCCAGGAGCACTTCTGGAGCAGTGGGTACGAGGCAGGAGAGCAGCACAATGCTCAACACTTTCCCTTATTCACAACCACTAGAAGAGCAGAGGGAATTGATATGGGATGCAGAGGATGAGGTGCTGGGTAAAGGGGTCAGCTCTGAGGCAGGTCCATGATGCCTTGGCACAGGGCTGCAGCTTCCAGTGCTCTCAGGAAACAGCTACCACACAAGGCCAGCCATGAGTGCCAGTCTGCTCCTCTGGCAGTGCCAGAGCAGTGTCAGCAGGGCTTCAAGCCTGTGCCTGTCCTCCCAAACACCACCAGCATCCTGCCCTAACAGGCGCCAAGGAGCTGGGCCAGCCCTCAGTGCCTCCCCACACTGGCACTGCCACCGGGCCACCCTCACTCATGGGACCACTGGACCAGGACACCCCAGTAGCCTCATCCAAGCTCCCTAGTCCGTGGCAGTGGCACATGCACCCCCACCTCAGGACAGCACACATCTGGGATGTGGAGGGAATCCAGGAGTGTTGGCTCACAGGCACTGCTCCACCATGCAGCACAGTTGGCACCACAACAGGACTCATCTCAAAGCTGCTGAGCCAGCCAGGAGAACAGGCCTCACATGTGGAGCACATGGGAACCCTGAGCCTGTGCTCACCTCCCGGAACATCCACAGCTCCACGGCTCCACCGTGCCGGCAGCCAGGCATCCTCACTGCCCTCTGGGAATGCTGGCCAAGCTGCAGGCAGGGAGAGAGGCAGGTTCCAGCCAATGGAGACATGACGACATCCCTTATCTCTCTCTGGAGGAAGGGAGGGGGCAAATTGCATCCTCCAGGCTCAGGTGCACCAGTGCCGGGTAAAAGCTCATTTCAATGCAGAAGGTTCCCTTTACATTTGTCATTACTATTCATGCCACCATCAGGCTAAACACAGCGAGTTAACCCTTTGGAAGGGGAAACACTCTGGATGTTTCAAGGAGGAGGAATAATGCAGGTTTCCTCCTGGAGGAGTGCTTCCTAGGGCAATTCAGCCCTGGAGGTGTTTAAGGGGAAGCTGGGGCAGGTTTTCTCCTGCCCAGCCACACTCAGCTCCGAGCTGGGGCAGAGGGGCAGCACACAGGGCACAGCGTGGCCAAGCACCATGGGGACATGCCACCAGCACCATCCAAGTGCTCCTGGTGACAGGACCTGGCTGTCAACAGGCACATTACCCATATCCTTGGCCACAAGCAGTGATCCTCACATATAGCTCTGAGTTACCTGCCCCTTGGGGACAGGTCTGTTCCTGGCAGGTGCCACAGTCCCCACATGGGGATCCTGCCAGCCCTTCCCTCCCCAGGCCCTGCAGCACTGCACAGCTGACACTCTCTCTTCCCCTGTACAGTTCTCCAAGGAGAAATACATCCTCGACTCATCACCAGAGAAGCTTCACAAGGAGCTGGAAGAGGAGCTTAAGCTGAGCAGCACCGACCTGCGCAGCCATGCCTGGTACCACGGCCGCATCCCCCGGGAGGTGAGAAGGGGAAGGTGGGTGGCTTCGGGCACCCTTTGCTTGAAATGTTGTGGAAGAGCACCCCAAGACCACACAGAACCACCAGCCTGTCCCCCTGGGAAGCCTCTGGCCGAGAGCTTCATTAGCTCTGAGCTGCCTGGTTTTGCCACGGGAAATGCCCTCCCACGACTCAGAGGGCAAGGGGAACAACCAGTGCCCCAAATAACACCCCAGTGGAACACCCACTCATGCTCCCCAGTTGATACAGCGTGGCTGTGGCTGAGCTGCTGCCCTGTCCCCTGCCAGGTGTCCGAGAGCCTCGTGCAGAGGAACGGTGACTTCCTCATCCGCGACTCCCTCACCAGCCTGGGCGACTACGTGCTGACGTGCCGCTGGCGCAACGAGCCCCTCCACTTCAAGATCAACAAGGTGACGGTCAAGTCCAGCGACGGCCATACCCGTGTCCAGTACCTCTTTGAGCAGGAGAGCTTTGACAACGTGCCTGCCCTCGTCCGCTTCTACGTGGGCAACCGCAAGGCCATCTCCGAGCAGAGCGGAGCCATCGTCTACTGCCCCATCAACCGCACCTTCCCCCTGCGCTACCTGGAAGCCAGCTATGGGCTGGCCAACGGGAAGCATGGGGGGCCCCACAGCCCCTCCACCCAGAAAGGGGGGCACATCAAGAGGAGGAGCATCACCATGACAGACGGCCTGACCGCAGACAAGATCACCAGGGCTGAGGGGTGCCCGACCAGGTGAGCACGCAGCCTCATCCCAGCTCAGCTGAGCAGAGGGTCAACCCCAGGAAAGAGGGAGGGCCGTGCTCAGTCCTTGCTCCTCGGGTGCAGGGCAGGGGTTTGGGATCAGGGATGGAAGAGAGAGACCAGCAGAGGCATGGGAGAAAGAACCAGTACTCAGCTGGAACTGAGGTTTTCTCCCAGGCTGGCTGCCAACCACACTGAGCTACCACAGCAGACACGACTTTAGCATTGCAGGCCAGAAGCCAGAGAGTGTTTTACAATCACCCAGTCCAGGATTACCAGCATGTCAGGGCTTGTTAGAGCCACAGAGCCAAGCTTTCCCAGGCAAATGTGAGAGGAGAGTCAGTCCCAGCCATCAAGAGAGCATTTGTTGTTTGTTTTTGAACGGCCCTTTTAGTTTCAAAGCCCTTTCCATTCAGCATTTGCAAGGAGTTACCAAGCAAAGCTGAAAGCCTGATGGGCAGGAGGAGGCCAATGCTCCACAAGGCTGAGCTGCTCACATTAACCGAGGGGCAGTTGGGCTTCTCCAGAGGTGAGGAAGGAGAATTCCTCTGTATGATTTGCTTTTGGCAGTCCTGGGATGCCCAGAGCCCTGCAGGGAAGGCAGGGCCACACACCAGCAAAGGGGAGATCCCTCTCCTCCTGCCTCCCCAGCAGGACACAGCCTGTTGTTAAAGCCAAGCTGCTTTCTCACCACCCCGACCTTCTCAGCCCAAGGGCAGGGTGAGAACGCGTCAGCAGAAAACAGGCAACCAACTGTTATGGCTGGGAAAAGGAAAACACTCAGACTTCCAGGAGAGCATATGTGTTTCCAGAAGAAGAGCCCAGATCCATCAGTCTTTCCTCATCACTCACATTTCCCCCAAACCCCTTATCACCGCCACTGCTGTCCCATCCTCCTCCCACTGCAGAGGCCCAGTGCTCAAGACCAAACACATCACAGCAGCCCAGCCCTCATCCACGGCAGGCAGGGCAGTGAACTACCTGCCATATCTCCTTCCAACCCTCCTTGTGCTCAGCACTCCCAGACACAGCATCTTTCGCAGCACCATTGACACACAGTATTTGCATCAGGCCATCTCTGCTGCCCCACCAGCCCAGGGACTAACCTTCCCTATCTCCCCCCTCCCCAGTGTGTCCCTGCCCCACCACAGAGACATCATTCGCAACTGTGCTGTCAGCGTGGACCAGATCCAAGACCTGCACTCCCCGATGTCCCCCATCTCTGAGAACCCAGCGTCACCCGCCTACAGCACAGGTAGGCATCGCCCCTCCACCCCACTGGGGACAGTAGGGATGTGGGTCAGGCTGTGTGTGATGCAGGGACCTGGAAATTAGGGATGGAGCTGGCTATAAAAACAAGCCTCCGTGTCATTCTCTGCTAGTGAAACTGTCTGGCATGGCAAAAAGAGGTGTCCCCATGGAAGGCTGGAGCTGAGGACAGGACCTCAGCCAGTCCTCAGTCACATCACCATGCAGCTGCCCTGGGACCAGCTGAGTCCATTTGGGCAGCAAGGCTTTTTTCCCCTGAGCTCCTCATCCCTGGGCTGCTGCACCCATGGTCCCTATGTGTGTGCCCATCTCCAGGCTCTCTAAGTGTCTCCTCTGCTCCCTACACAGTTACACGGCTAAAGCCTCATGCCTGCCAAGCAGCCGGGATCACCCCAACCTCTCCGGTCATAAGAAGGTCCAGCGAGCCCCAACTGTGCCATGGGAACAACAGCAAACCTCTGCCAGACCCTGCCCACAGCTCCCATTCGACTCCCTGCCATGGGTATGCCCGCGCCTCCCCCTCTCCCTCCGTGAACAGCTACAGCGACCCGGACTCAGGGCACTACTGCCAACTGCACCCCACCTCACCCATCAGCAGAGACCGGCCAGCTCATGACACCAAGCAGATGCCAACAAAGAGCTACGTGGATAGGCTAAAGGTGGAGGAAGGACAGAGAGGGACTGTGGAGAACAGTTCTGGGGAAGCAGAGGCAGGGCAGAGGCTGAAAGCAGAGCCGGACTTCATGGGCTTTGTGCCCCCCACCATGGAAACGACTTCCTCCTTCAACCCTGCTGCCTTCCAGTCCCTGCTCATCCCCCTGGAGAACAAACCCCTGGAGATGACCGTGCTCAAGAAGGTCAAAGAGCTGCTGGCAGAGGTGGATGTGAAGACACTTGCCAAACACATCACCAAAGTGGACTGCCTGGTACGGCCAGGGTCAGGCGGGAGGGGTGAGCACTGCTGCCCTCTGATCACTCTGAGCTGGCAGGGATCAGAGCATCCCTGAGCACTGGAGCATCCCTACTGGGCTCTGTCATTCTGTACCAGCCAGAGCAGGCAGAGGCTGGGCTGGGGTGAGAGGCTGCCTGAGGACACTTCAGCCTCTCCCCAATTAACAAAGGTCTAATCAGCTCTCACCTTCCTTGCCAGGTCGCCCGGATATTGGGTGTGACGGTGGAGATGCAGCGGCTCATGGGAGTGAGCTCTGGCATGGAGCTGCTCACCCTGCCCCACGGCCACCAGCTCCGCCTCGACCTGCTGGAACGGTACGGCCACGGCGGGGACGAGCCCACCGTGCTGCCCCATCCCACTGGATGGGCATGGCCCAGCCCCCTCCCCGGGGTGTCCCCAGCCTGGCACAGGGGTGAGGGTGGAGGTGGGGGAGCATCCCCAGCCGCCCTGCACTGACCCTGCTCTCTGTCTCGCCCCACGGCAGGTTTCACACCATGTCCATCATGATCGCCGTGGACATCCTGGGCTGCACGGGCAGCACCGAGGAGCGGGCGGCCCTGCTCCACAAAACCATCCAGCTGGCTGCTGAGCTGAAGAGCACCATGGGCAACATGTTCAGTTTTGCTGCTGTGATGAACGCCCTGGAAATGACACAGGTATGGGAACACACTCTTTTACTCCTCATGGCCTGGGCTCAGCCCCTTCATCCAAAGCGTACACCTCTCCCTGTGTCCTGCAGGATCCAACAGCCGTTGGGGTGGGAGAAGGGGGGAAAATGCCCAGAGTAGGAGGCATGGGGCTGCATCCGCTGGGATGTAAGCAGGGAATGGGAAGAGCCATCCTCTCCGTGGAGCAGACAGCCCAGTCCCACCAGGATACGATTGTTTTTCAGTGGTTGGGCTTTTTGTTTTGTGCTGGGCTGTGTTCCTGGGAGGAAATGAATCTGCCCTCCGGTACAATACAAATCAGTCTCAAGGCTGTGGCAGCCGCGTCTCCGGGCCACACTGCTCCCTTTGGAAGATGAAAGGAGATTAAAATTCAATTTTAAATCGAGCCCAGCTGGGAAGTCTTGCTTCCTGCCTGCACAAAGGAGGTGGAACGGCTGCCCCCTCCCTGCATCTCATCTTCAAGGCCGCTGCGACGCGGGGAAGCTGCTGTCCTGGGGCACAGGGAGGGGGGAGAAATCCTGAACCCAGCCTCTGTGCCAGGGATGTGCCATCTTTGGCAGTGAGTGCTGGTGGAGGAGGCTGTGTTGGGGAGCAGCAGGCACTGTTGTGTGCAAGGCTGGGGACCATGGCTCCAGGGCCAGGCTGTGCTCCTGGGAGCACCCTGCGAGCCTAGAGCTGGGTGCTCAGGGGCTGCACTGCCCCCAGCACCCTCCATCTGCCCCATCTCCTTTCAGATTGCCCGGCTGGAGCAGACCTGGATGGTGCTGCGGCAGCGGCACACGGAGGGTGCAATCCTCTATGAGAAGAAGCTTAAGCCATTCCTGAAGAGCCTGAATGAAGGGAAAGGTAATGGGAGCAACTCCCCTTCTCTCGCTTGCCTGCTCCTTCCCACTCTATCTGGGCACAGTCTCACTGTTTGAGAGCTCTGACCCTGTCCCAGACAGTGCCAGACACTTCCCCTCTGGCTGCTGAACCGCCCCAGCACCCAGCAGGGCCCATTTGGCCTTGTTTGCCTCTTCCTGCCCACGGAAGTGTTTCATAACTAAATAAAACCAGCCAAGCCAAACCCTCACACTCGCCTGGCAGTGAGTGCCAAACCAAGGGACAGGGTGGCCAGCCGGGGAAGATGAAAGCCATGTCCCTCCAATGCCCAGTGCTCTGGGGTCTTGCAAACATGCTCCCCACTGCAGCCCTGGAAAAAGCAGGGGCAGCAGCGTTCCCTTCCCAGCACAGCCGGAAAGCCTGGCTGGGAGGAGCTGGTGTCAACGAGGCGATGGCCCCGGGCACAGATCGAAGAGGCACAGCAGCTGCTGTGCTCCAGCTGAGCCTTAAAGCCTCCCCTGGGAGTGCAGTGGCAGCCTGGCTCCGCAGGGCTATGTGGCAACACGAGTGCTCCAGAGGGAGATGGGGAGGGGGATGTAGGGTCACAGGGCCACATGGGGTCCTAAGGTTGCCTCTCTCTCCAGAAGGGCCGCCGCTGACCAACACCACCTTTCCCCACATCATACCCCTCGTGACTCTCCTGGAGCGGGACAAGGCTCTCACGGACAGCCTCGAGCCCTGGGAGGCCACAGACAACGGCGTGGAGGTGGTCATGGCCCACCTGGAGGCAGCACGGATGGTGGCCCACCACGGTGGGCTCTATCACACCAATGCTGAGGTGAAGCTGCAGGGTAAGCAGTGGGGACAGCAGAGCCCCTTTCCCTCTGCCACAGTCCCAGTGTGCAGCTCCAGGATGGAGCATCCCATGGGCACGGGGTCCCTATCCCATCCTGGGGAACTGACTCTCCCTCCCTGCAGGTTTCCAGGGCAGAGCGGAGCTGCTGGAGATCTTCAGCACCGAGTTCCAGCTGCGGCTGCTCTGGGGCAGCCGTGGGGCTGAGAGCAGCCAGGCCGAGCGCTACGAGAAGTTCGACAAGGTCCTCACTGCCCTGTCCCACAAGCTGGAGCCAGCGGTGCGCTTCAGCGAGCTGTGACCCCCCCAGGCCCTGGGAGACCCCCCCAGCTCCCAGCCTGCACCCCTCTGGTGGCTGTGGGGCACGGGATGGGAGCTGGGACCCAGCACTTGGAGGAGGAGAGATGGCCCAGAAAGGTGCTGGGGCACAGGGCAGCAATTTTGAGACAAAGAGGAGGAAAAGCAGCCACCTCGAATCTATCACTCATCTCCTCAGGATACAACAGGGCAGGAGGTCCACATTGCTACCCTGAAGTCTGGGCATGCCAGCACGGGTCTCCACCACCCAGCCCTGCTGAGGTCCATGACTACACAATGCCCCTCCTCTCACCCTTCAGTTCCATTTCTTTTCCCCCTCTGTCTCACCCATGGCTGCTGGATCACGCGTGTAAATACGTTTTCACGATCACTTCTCGATGTACAGACTTGTGAAGGATGAAGAATGTTGTAAATAATTAGGCTCATTCATTTTGTCCTGTAAATATGTGTACATATCTCATGGGTTTGTTTCTTACATATAATAAACTTTTATGCCGTTCCTCAAGGGGGTTCCCTGTCCTGTGGGTGTCCTTTAGACAAATTCCCCGGGGGAGGAGAGCCCAGGAAGGGCTGTTTGGGGGGACCACCCTGCTGAATCCAGCCCCACCTGGCCCCAGACAGCCCTTCAGGTGTCACAGAATCACAGAATGGGACAGGTTGGCAGGGACCACAGTGGGTCATCAAGTCGAACCTCCCCGTTCCAGTCCCTTAATTATCCTCATTTCCCTTCTACTGGACCTGTTGCAGGAGCTCCATGTCTCTCTTATCCTGAGGAGCCCAGAACTGAACACAGCGCTCCAGATGCAGCCTCTAGGACTGAATAGAGGAGCAGGATCACCTCCTTGACCTGCTGGCAATGCTCTTCCTAATGCACCCCAGGATTCCATTGGCCTTCTTGGCCGCAAGGACACAGTGCTGGCTCATGGACAGCCACTTGTCCACCAGGACCACCAGGGCCTTTTCTGCAGAGCTAATTTCCAGCAGGTCAGCCCCCAACCTGTACCAGCACTCAGAGTTGTTCCTCCCCACGTGCAGGACCCTGCATTTGCCCCTGTTGGATTTCAGAAGGTTCTTCTCTGCCAGGGGATCTCGGGTCCCCAAAGCAAGGGGAGGTACAGCGACCCTGCTCAGGGCGGGGGGCGGGGCACTGCGAGCCAGGCCACGCCCCGTGGCACATAACCACGCCTCCTTCCCTTAGCACCGCCTTCCCAGAGGCTCCGACCCTTTGGGCCCCGCCCCCGCGCGGGGCACGCCGGGAGCTGTAGTTCGTGCGGGGGCGGAGGCGCGGCCGCCATGGCCCCCGGAGCGGCCCCGGTCCCGGTGCTGCTGGCGCTGCTGGCGGCCGCCGCCCGGCCCGCCGCCCCCTGGGACCTGTGGGCGCTGCGCTGTGGCTTCTCGGCGGACTGCGAGTGCGGCTTCAGGCCCGACCTGCGCGGTCAGTGGGGGCGGCGGCCCGGGAGAGGTCTGGGCGAGAGGGGAGGGTCGGGGGGCGGCTGGAAAGGGGCTCCCGGCAGCTCCAGGGGATCCTTCCTGGGGCCGTCCCTGGAGCGGCGTCTCTCGGCCTGCCAGGGCGCGTGGGGAGCCCCCAGGGACGGGACGGGTCCACAGGGTGAGACCAGAGCGATGTCACCCCGCCTTCTCTAAGCCTTGGCTTCACTTCCTTTCAGGTCTGGAGTTCGACTTGGCCACCAACCTGGTGGGACAGCCCCTGGTGAGGCAGGAGGTGATGAAGGGGGTGAGGGGGTTCCTGGAGAACCAGAATCCGGTGAAACCCCTGGTGATGTCCTTCCATGGCTCCACTGGGACAGGCAAAACCTACGTGAGCTCCATGGTCATCCGCTACCTCTTCCAGGGTGGGCTCCAGAGCCCCTACGTTCACCACTTCTCCCCCATCGTGCACTTCCCCCACGCCGAGCAGATAGACCAGTACAAGGTAAGAGACATCTCTCAGCAGTGTTGCTTGACTGGGGGTTTTCAGTTATGTCCATCTTGATCCTCAGTACATATGCATTCAAGCTGTTTCCTGAAGTGCAGTAGGAATAAAAGCTCTTTGTTTTACCCTCTCAAACACAGCTGAGTGAGTGGCTCCACACACTGGCTGAAGGATCAGCTAGTAACTGGGTTATAGTCTGGCACTGAGCTATCACTCTCGTCTTCCATACAGCAGTCATTGCCCTGATCATGTTCTCATTCCTTAAATATTTACACAGCCCTTTGTACGCACAAACAAAAGTGCTTTGCTTAGATGAAAGGCACTAAAATTCTCCCTTTGCTTTCCAAACAGCCTGATGGCTGTGAAAACCTGCTGTCTCACTAGACTTGTAATCCCCTTCTCACAGAGCACGCACCTCCTGAACGGCAGCCCCAGGCTCTTCGTGGTGCCACTCTGTCTCTTGAAGCTGAGGAAAGGAAGAAACCAAAATGCCAAACCCTCACCAGTACAGGGAATCAGTGCACCTGGACCTTTGCTTTCTGGGTGTTTGGATAAGTTATTTGTAGCATTGTGTCCTTAGAGGAAATGCTGTTGGGAATGTAAATCCCATCCTGGCTGATGTGTTTCAGTGAGGAGTTACACATGTCCCCAGAGGATGGGAGTGGTTTTGTGTGGGTTGGGAAGTACCTTCAGCCCTGCTAAAGAGCCAGAGTTGTTCTGGGTCAGCACAGGCACATGTTTCTGCACCAGGACAGGAGCTGGCAAGAAGCTGGGAACTGTGTAGATACACAGTGAAAGAGAAGAATGTGGGGAGATGTAGGAGTTTGAACGCCCTGCTTTAGTGTGCTGCCTCCTTCTTTAAATCTGTAATAAAAGACCTACAGTGGGATAATAAAGCTGTAACAGCCACTGGGTGAAAGCCAGAATAAAGGGGCCTCTCCAGCACTGGCTGTTCCTGCTCCGAGTGGGTGGTGCTGTGCAAGGACATGCTGCTTCCAGCACCTTCATCTTCGTATGAGCTCCGGCCTCAGCCTTTGCTCTGGGGTAGCTCGAGCCTCCCTCGTTATCTCACTGCCTTACAGCTTGGTGTGTGCTTTTCCTAGGAAAGCCTGAAGCGCTGGATCCAAGGAAACCTGACAAACTGTGGACGCTCAGCCTTCCTCTTTGATGAGATGGACAAGATGCACCCAGGGCTGATCGATGTGATCATACCATTCCTGGGCCCCTCGTGGGTCGTGTACGGGACCAACTACCGCAAAGCCATCTTCATCTTCATCAGGTGAGGGGGGGCCTTCCAGCACTGGGCAGAGATCACATCTACTCCATGGCAAACACTTGTTTTGCTTTTCCTTCTCCAAGCCTTGAGCCTCTAAAAATGCCAAAAGACTTTATTTCATTGTGAACAGACAGACCTGGAGAGTGTGAAAAAGCCCTCCTATATCCCTGTTATTTCGCTGCCTCTACAGGAGTCATTTTGGGCCATGCTGGGAGATCCTGGCTTGCACTTTGCAAGTGTCAGATTGTCCTGAAACACCATTTTCCCAGGTACACACTGAGTAAGTGTCTCATTGTTGTGCAGCAACGCAGGAGGGGAGCAGATCAACGAGGTGACGCTGGCGCTGTGGCGCGCCCGCAAGGACCGGGAGGAGATCAGCCTGCAGGACCTGGAGCCAGCCATCTCCAAGGCCGTGTTTGAAAACCCTCAGAGTGAGTCCATGGAGCTGAGCCCTTCCCACAGGGCCAGAGCCTGGCACAGGCAGCCACCCACACTGCCTGTCACCTCCCTGGCAGCCAGGAAGGGACGGCAGGGTTTTCAGGGAAGGGAACTGCGATCCCCTCGAGGTTTCCTGGCGAACGGAAGGAATAGCCTGGCCTTCTGAGCCAGCAGACCTGTTGCCATGCTTAGCAAAGTTCTTTGGAAGGTGTATTTGCAGCTGGAGGCTGGCAGACAGCACAGCACGCTCCCTGTAATGGCACTGAGATGTATTGATCTCCACTGCCTGCCTGGTTCTCATTGCTTTGCCCTTGTCACAGGGAACAGAACTTAAACTCTGACTAGACAAGCTAAATCCCCTCATTCCTAGAGAACAAGTCTTTTTGGGGCTAAAGGGCGTGACAGCTGATGGGTTCAGCCCTCTCCTTGTACAAAACCAGGGCAGATCTCTCTTCAGCAGAATATTTTGACTTCACACAAAGCAGCTCTTTGAATTGCAGGGACTGCAGAGACTCTAAAGGTAAAACCTGTCTCTTCCTTTCCCTTTTGCAGGTGGATTCTGGAAATCTGGGATCATTAACGAACATCTCATTGATTTTGTTGTGCCTTTCCTCCCCCTGAAGCACCACCATGTGAAGCAGTGTGTGGTCAGCGAACTCATCCAGCAAGGCCTCGAAGTACGTCCGAGCGTTGTCCAGGAGGTGGCCAACAGCATCCCCTACTTCCCAGAAGAGGAGAAGTTATTCTCATCAACAGGTTGCAAAACAGTGGCCTCTCGGATCAGTTTTTTCTTGTAGTCACTGTTGAGGGCCTCGCTGAGATCCATAGGGGATGTATATGGAACTGGAAAGCACCCAGGGCTGGCGGGATGAACACTGGGAGCAGCATGTCCCTCCTGGCACCACAAGTATTCTCCTGCTGAACTCTCTCCAGTGGCTGTGGGACCAAGTGCAAATTATGTGATTTAAAGCACTTTACTGATTCACCCTCGGCCAGGTGAGGATGGATGAACCACCCAAGGCATCTGTGACGACATGGGGAAGATGCTGAGTGGGGCTGCAGCGTCAGGGAGGTTTCTCAGCCTGTCAGCAGCACCCACCCACAGCTCTCTCCCCTCTCCTGGCAGCTGTTGATACCCAGCACATCAAGATTCTGAGCCCACAGAAGAATACTTATTTCTTACAGCATATTAACTTTTTTTTTAAAACCTTTTTAATTGTGGCTGTGCCTCAGCTCCTTGGTACAATGTGACAGTGCTGGTGCTGACTCCTGTGAACACCTTCAACAAAGTTTTCTTTTCAAGGAAGTTTTAGAGCCAAGTTTTTTCCAGCTTCCTTTCACTGTGAATAGGTGCTGTTAGTGACCAGCTTCACCACCAACTGAGGGGGGTGATATGGGAGATGGCAACACCTGATCTCCCAAGAACCAGGCTCCCCTACTATCCCCTCATCCATTTCTCCCCTCAGGACCAAAGGATTTCCCTGCAGCAAACCAGGAAAACAACAAAAGACCTCTTGCTTGTTTTACCACCCACAAAAAATTTCATGCTACCTCCAGGGGAGCCCACGGTGCCACTAACAGTTCTGAAAATTCCTTTTACTCAGTGATGATTTCTGCAACAGACTTGGTGCTATGATCTGTGGAGCCTCCTGTATGTCCTTCTGCTGGTTAGACCTTGGCAGGCTTTGGCTGGGTCAACACCCTTTCAGCTTCTGGGGAGTGTCACAACAAGGGACCTGGGGACAAGTCAGAGAAGATTACTGCTCCAAACAGCCAAGCATGGGATGCACAGCCTGGCCTTTGCCCAGGTTTTGATCTCCTCTGTGCATCACTTCCTCACAGGTCAGAGGAACCAGAATCA